AGGATTCGACCTCGTTCGAATTACGACGGGTTGTTATTTCGATAAGTTCGAAATAACACCCTTAAGGCCAAGGGCCTTCGCCATCAAAGTAAAAGCAGGATTCGACCTCGCTCGAATCATGACGGGTTATTATTTCGATAAGTTCGAAATAACACCCTTAAGGCCAAGGGCCTTCGCCATCAAAGTAAAAGCAGGATTCGACCTCGCTCGAATCATGACGGGTTATTATTTCGATAAGTTCGAAATAACACCCTTAAGGCCAAGGGCCTTCTCCATCAGAAGAAAAAAGACCGCGACTCGTCAGACGAGCTCCCGTCTCGCGCCAAGGCCGTATAATTAATAACGAAAATTGAGATACAGGGCAAATGACGAAGAACTCTTTATTATTGAAAAGTCATGAGTGCGGACAATCGCCGCTTACAACAAGCCCAGGCCAACAAATAAAAAAATAGAGCGAACAGATACTAGCCTACCAACAAAATCAAAATGAAAACAAAGTACAAATATTTTTCACTTGGCGTCACCATCGTCGTCATCATCACCGTCCCCACGAGGGTCATCATCATCACCATCCGTGCCTCTATTAGCTTCAGGCGTTGCCGCATCATACCCACAGTTGATGCGAGCCTCACGAGCTTTCGCTCACGCTTCCTCATATGCAGCCTCGGTCATGGTGCCCACTTCCAACAAACTCTTATAAATGTCATGCTGAGCTTCGGCATAGACCTAGAGCTCATGAGTCTAGCGGGGAACAGCAGCGTGAGACGATTCAGCTTGAGCTTTCAGTCGCTCATTCTCTGCCTCCAGGGTCGCGACTCGATCTGCCAGGATCAAAGCTTCCTGATCAATTATACCAATCTGCTCCTCGAGCCTCGCCTCCATAAGGGTTGTTATCGCCCTCTCCAATTCCTGCTCAGACTGGAGTACATGAATGGTTTCTTCTAAAGCTGTCGCCCTCGCCAAGGCCTCAGACCAGGGTCTCTCAATATGCTCCAGGCCAGCGACCTTATTTTCCAATGCGGTCAGCTTTCCTCTCCATTCTACGCTCATCGTCTCGACCCAGACCGAGTTCTGGTCCATCTCCGACTGCATGGACCTCAGCTTGCCCTGCAAATACTCACATTTTGCGACGACACCCTTGCCCAATTCGAGATCCTCTTCCTTGAGGCGGAGTTTCTCCTCGAGCTCGCTCTTACTACGGACCGTCTGCAGCAGCTCTTGATCCCTCCTCTCCAACTCCTCGCCCAAAGCCTGATTGCGAGGGTCCGTCCTCAACCGTTCGTGCAATTCACGACACCTGTCGCGGTAGCGATGGTATTTCTCCAATATTTGCAAGAAGATCCTCGACCGGGTGTTGGCCCTACGGATGCTTTCCACATCCACCATATACATCTAAAAAAGGCGATTAAACTAATGCTTTTAAACAAAGGGAAATTCCAAAACAAGAGCCAAAAATATATCATACCCTCAAGCCCATAACGACCACCTTATCCCTCAACTCGGCATCAGGGATACTCCGCAGGGACTCATTCTCCGCTTCCGAGCACAGCAGGATAAATTGCGGCACCAAGTTATCCCCCTACGCCAAAAGATTCACGTCGGAAGGAATTCTGAGAACTCGAGCTGAACCCCCAGCGTGAACCACCGAATGAGTAAGGCCCTCCTCGAACATTCTGACGTCGTCAGGATCCAGGTCTGATTCGAATTTGTACTCATCAATCACTACGCCTTTCCCCCTTTCTGCTGCGGAAGTAGGAGTGTGACTCACCGCGGACAAAGAGGGCACGTCTGAAGTCACTATAGCAGCACTGAAGGTCTGGTTCTCTGCTACGGCATGGCGCTGGTCATCAGTAACATTGGGAACTTCTGGCTAAGCCGTTGCAACGACCGGAGTTTCCAAGCACCGACCACCGTCATTTGCTTCAACAACTCACTCCGCCTCTACGGAAGACGTTGCAGCAACACCTTCCCCTGAGCCCGTCGGGGGAGACTCGTCCATGTTAATCACTGTTGGAACCGCCACCTCGAACTCTACCCTCCGTCTCTTCGACGACCCTTCCTCCTCCCTAGTTGAAGGTGATTCATTCGTAGGACAAACCTCGTCCTAAAAGGCAGTCCTAGCTGGGGAAACCAAGGCCGCAGATTCGACCGAAGCTGCCCTCGACGAAGGACGAGTAGAAGGTACCGCGACAAGATAAGTGGACGCAGCCGACTGGCGAAAGGCCAACTGAGGAGCCCTGGCTCTGCACACTCTCACTAACAGTGACAAACGANTGGAGGCGCCACCTCGAACTCTACCCTCCGTCTCTTCGGTGGCCCTTCCTTCTCCCCAGTTGAAGGTGATTCATTCGTAGGACGAACCTCATCCTGATAGGCGGTCCTAGCTGGGGCAACCAAGGCCGCAGATTCGACCGAAACTGCCCTCGACGAAGGACAAGTAGCAGGTACCGTGACAAGACGAGCGGATGTAGCCAGCTGGCGAAAGGCCAATTGAGGAGCCCTGGCTCTCCACGCTCTCCCCGATAGCGACAAACGAGGTGTAAGAGACGAGACGAAAAACGAATAAAGGAGCAATAAATAAGGACGCCATCTCACCTATAGGGGGCCTACATCCAAACCTTACGTGAAAAGTCAACCAGGTGCGAACCCCC